CGGGCGCGGGGGCGGGGTCCCGGCCGGGCGCGGGGGCGTGGCCCGGCCGAGCTGACCAGGCTGTCTCTGTCCCTGTCCCCAGTGCTGAAGGAAGCCATACCTCCGGGCAAAGTAACGGGCGGGACCACCAGGCACTGGCCAAGGCGGTCCAGGTCCACCAGGACACGCTGCGCACCATGTACTTTGCTTGACATGTTGTGTTTACGATTGTGAGCGGAGTCGGATTCACACGAGACCAGCGACACTCAGACCAACGGACTCCAGCCCCGTGGCAGCCAGCACTGGACACCACACGTCGTGGACTCAGCCGAGGCTCCTTTCCCAGAATGCCTTCCGTCCGGATTTCACACTCGTTCTGAGCTGCAGACCTGTATGAGACCCCACTGTCGCAGGAGAGATGGTTTGCCAAAATCTATCCGCTGCTTATTAATAGTCCCGTATTTCCTAAAAACATCTCCTAAAAGCAGTCTATGAACTCAGGGCTTTAAAACATTTTTAATTTATTTGGTCATTCGATTTACTTGTTTTTAACACGTGATTCTGTATGGAATTGATGGGCTCAAACTAGCTGTGAGCGTTCTCTGAGGGTGAAAGCAACGCAAACACTATTGTGGTTTTAAAGCCTTGACCATTCTGACGTTGTCACTCACGTGTGTCCCACCGACACTCGTGTGCCCTGACGTGGCTCCGCAAGCTCTTAGGGACCCGCGGTGGGCGCCCCACCCGCGGGGGAAAGGGGCTGGGACGCCAGAGACCACGCCCACTCAACATTTCTAGGTCCAGAGAGATTGGCAGCCAAGTGCCATTTTAATAAAAATTTATTAAAAAAACAAAAAAAAAAAGAAAAAAGATGGTATGCCGACAGTCTAATGGTGAGATTGGTCCTCTAGGACTGTGACATTTATTTTCCAAAGTTTCTAAAGAATACGGGTCTGTGGTGATGATACAGTACAATCCTTTCACTGTATGTCTTTAATGTAGAGAATATATATATCTGGTTGCAGTATTAATGTGAGCGCTCGGCGCTGTCTCAGTTCCTGGCACGGGAACTTCTTGTGCTCGGTGTCGGGGCCGGGAGGCCGCCGCCCCGTGGGTCTCAGCTTCGGCGCAGAGTGCGCGGCGGACTCACTGCCAGCGACCGCCCCATGTAGACTGTCGCCTGTACCTTCGGGCCGGTGCGCTCCAGCATTCACCCGCGCCCGCCCTGCCTCCTCGCCGGGTGTGGCCCAGCCGATGAAGCACAAGTGGAATGTACGGATCTTTCCGCCCCTGGGAGGCACGTCCGTGTGCTGGGTGTCATAGGATCTGTGTGCGGAGACCCACAGAAAGCCGTCGGCGGGGCTCTGCCGGGCGCCTTGTCCCCGGAGGCCGGCCGACGACCACCAGCGTGAGGGCCAGACCCTGCCGTGGCGATCTGCCTTCTGGGCCCCGGCGTGGGGTTGCCACCCCAGAAACCATTGCACTAAGAGGGATGCCACGACAGCTGGAAGGGTGACAGCCGACGGCTCCGTGCCACGTGGGCTCCGTCCCGGCAGCAGTTCCATCGAGGGTCCGGTCCACGTCCGTTGTAGAGACTCGAGGAAGGAGACAGCCTTCCCGTGCTGCTTTGTGCTGTTCCTGTCCCTGCCGACACTTACCTCTGGCGCCGTGGTGGCGGGGTCCCGACGGGGCTGCCTCCGCTGGAGTGGGCGCCCACTGTCTCCTGTCTGCTCCGAGGGCCAGGGGACAGGGAGTGCGAGGGGCTGTCGTGGACACTCGGCCCGGATTTTGGCGGCAGTGACAAGGGTGGACCTGGTTTGTGCAGCGTCTACGCCGAGTGGTGCGTGCGTGTACGTGTGTGCATGTGGTGTCTCATCGGTGGCGTACGTCTCTTCTTGCTGTATCTCGTCTGTTTCAACGACAGAAGCCTTTGCTCTGAGAAACGTCGCAGCTCCCTGTCCTTCTGTTGGCAAGTGGCACTTTCCTCCCGCTGCGGACACCGCCCGCTCCTGGCGCATCCGGCTTCCCGCCCAGGAGGGACCTTCACTCACATGCTCTCAAGTTAGGTCTGTTTCCAGCCACTTTTAGGATCATCGAACCCTGTTTGCTTCAAAGGCGTGTTTGTCACATGTGCGCCAGGATCGCGGTCCGGGCGGCGTGGTGCCCGGAGGAAGCGCAGGCTCCCGGCCTCGCTGTGGCCTCCGGGCCCGGGGCTGCCTGACATCTGGGACCCCGACTAGAGCCTGTGGAGGGGGCCCCTGGCCATGAAGCTCTAAGCTAAAACCTGGCAGAAAGTTACACCTAAATTCTTTACAGATTATTTCGAGGCAACATTTGCTTTTCAGTGGCCACAGCACTTTCCTTTCTGTAGCCTGCGCTTGTTTCATAAACGCTCCACGCTAAAGGCACCAGCAGCCCCCCGGCCATCCTGACTGCTCGCCCCCACCTGGGGCCACCTCGGGCTCAGACCGAGGAGGGCACCCCCATTGGCTATCTGCGCCCCACCCCACTGTTAGTAAGGTGTGCCTTGCTTGAAGCAAACTGAATGTGAAATGAAATGATGGTGTAGAAATCGGGATTCGTATCAAAGAAAAACGGGCATTTATCTCGCCTCTTTAAAAGAGCTCTCCAATTAGATTCTTCTGTTGGTGCCCCTCATAGCTGCTTGAAAATATTCTCTGAGGAAGATCAGCGCAGCCCCATCAACTCACTTCTATCTGTCGCATTCGACAAGCCCCCGCCCCAACTCCCCGCAGAGCCGTCAAAGTCGCCATTTTGCAGAAGGAGCCCTTTGTGCCACACGTGCAGGGGGCCGGGCTCGGGAATTCGGTGAGGCTGGGGAGCGTCTGCTTTTAGAAGGGGCGGCTCTGTCTCCGTTTGGGCCGGGTTTCCTGTCTGAGGGGCCCTCACGCGGACACTGACTCGCTGGCTGCTGCACGGAAGGGCCCAGCTTTTCTTGTCCCAGATCGCGTTGCTTCTTGGGGTGGCCCTCACGCTCCCCGGAGTGAATGTGTGCGCCCTGGACCCTCAGCGGAGCCCTGGCCGCGGCCCCAGGAGGGAGCTGTTGGCCCGGTTCCCGCTCCGTTCCTGCAGCGGGGGCGGGGCGGCGGCGCTGATGCGTGTTGTATGTTGTTGACTGTTGCTCAGTGCCGGTGTTGCTGTTCCTTTTGCCTTTCTGGTCTGGTTTGGTTTGGCCCGAGTGGGCATCCTGGTGCACGTGGCACCCGATTGTAAGCTAGAAGTCACCCCCCCAGCTTGTACGAGTCGCCTAACGTTTACCTGCAGCTTTGCCGGCTCATTTATTTTTGAAAGCCACAAATGTAAGTTTCCTGGATGAATTGTTTCTTACATGTGCAGCAATGTAATGTTACACTGATCTGCGGGGAGATTTAAATTTTCTTTTTGCAAGGCAGTTTTTCAATCAAATTATATATTTGATACAATATGTGAAGGGCGGACCAGCCAAGCGCCCTGCGGGTGGGACCCCAGATGTCCCCAAGGGCCTGTGGGGCCGGGACGGCTTGTCCGCCCTGGGTCCTGGAGGTGCTGGGCTTGTTTTGGGGGGCTGTTAAGATCTGGGGTCCTGGGTGGGACTTTGAGTGGATGGACAGTTAAAGGATTTTCATGGGCATTTCCCGTCACACTAAGGTGGTTCCAGTCGGAGGAACTTTAGAAGCTGGCGTGACCCCAACCGTGGACAATCCCAGTGGCCCAGACAAGCCATAGACACTCCCTGTGACCTCTCGGACTCATCTCTCACGCTCGCGAGAAAAGGAATGTACAGTAGAGAAATGTCCTCAGTGTTCGTGCGCCTCACTTTCAGAATGCAACTCTCTTATTTATATTTTAACCCGTCCCCCAAGCTGTCCTCGGCTCTGCAGCCTGGCCACGGGCTGTTCTCGTCTCACACTCTTTTTTGTAAGGAAAATTTCAACTCAAAATAATTGCACTGATTTTGACAACCTCCTTTTGTAATTATGTCCAACCCGCATCGCCGTTCTTGTCTGACTGACTGTAAGCAGGAGCCGTGCTTGGCCCCGTGACCGCCCGGTGCCAGGTTCTGGGTGAGAGTGGCGGCTCCTCCTTCGCCGGTGCCGGGGGCCGTGCGTGAAGGGCAGCGTCGCCCTTGCCTTGTTCCCCGAGGAGCCTGCGGCCTGGGGAAGGGGCGTGTGCTCACGGAGGTCTGCAGGCGTCGTCTAAGAGCGTTCATTGCACGTCCGTGGGTGCTTCTGTGGCTTGTTGGGTTCCTGGTCGTTTGCCGTGACCCCGGGAGCACTGGGCCAAGTGGAGAGCAGGCGTCTGTGTGGCCCGTGTCCGGCGAGAGTGATGCCTCCGGGCTTCTCTCTCGTCAGCCGTCCTGTGAAGCCACAAGGTCACTGTTGTGTCGAAACCGTCATAGCTGTGGAGGCCGCGGCCCCGCGCTGTCCTGCCGGCCTGCGGTGTCTGCCCGCACCCCCTCCCGGGTGTGATTCTGTGTGTGGTCGGGCCGCCCAGCCAGTTACCTGGTGCGTGATGCCGTCGCGGGGCCCTCGCCGCGTGCTTTCTGGGTACGTTTTGCCATGTGACTGTCCCCAGTGAATGTATTGGCGTAGCCAACTCACTACAGAAGGTGGTTTCTAAATACCTTTTCGTTTTAAAAAAAGCAAATGCAGATACAGGCTACCTCTGATTCTCTGAAGGTTCATGTTTGCTTCTAGCCTCGCTGTCCACACTGAAAATAGCCAAACGTCTCCCGAGTAACTGAGTGTGAGCACCTCTGTTCAGTGCTGGCCGAGTGGCCACGTGGCGGGGCCGGCCCACTCCGAGGAAGAACTCACCAAGGGCTTGGACCCCACTTACCGTCGATCTCACAATTAAAGTGGCCGCGTGGTGTGAGCAGTGCAGGCACGCCGACTGACCTTTGACCCTGAGCCTGGTGTTCCCACCTCCCTACTGTAAACTGACCTGAGGTTGAGCGGGTTGTTCTGTTCGAGTCCCAGGCCCTGTGTTTGGAAGGAAGGCGCCCGCAGGGCCGGGAAGTGGAACTTCCGACGCCCTGGGTCGTCGCAGGAAGCCCGCTCTGGGCGGCGCGGTCAGGACTGAGTGCCCTCACGGCCGTGGGCCAGGCGCCTCTGCCTCCTCAGTCTTTCCTTGGGGTCCCTTGTGCTCTCGCGCCCTCAGGGCGAGCGATCGCAGGGTCTGAAGGGACAGACGGTGGCGTTGTCTGGTGTGGAGGACGCCCGGACCTCGGACCAGAGGCTCTGGTGCGTCCGAGTCTCGGTGCCTGGCCTGTTCCATGGCTGCTTCACGCCTGAGCGAGCTGAGTGTCTTTCGGTCTTTCTCAGGGCGATCGCCTGTCCGCTCGAGACGCGCGGGGCGCCTGCAGGGGGGCTGGCTGCTGGGTGAGTCTTGTTTTCAGCCGGGACCCAACACAGGTGTTTCGGGGACCCTGCACGGCAGCCCCTGCTCGATCGGTCATGGGGACTGACAGCTCGGATCTGCCCATCGGCCTTTTGTGCCCGGGTCTCCAGAATCAGAGGACCCAAAAAAAACCCCATGTGTGTTCCTGCAAGTGGTTGATAGTGAGAGAACAAAGACCACTGGTGCTTCTGTTAACACTTTCTCTCTACCTGGGGATGTGAGAGTATTAGACGTGTGAGATCCGGGGGTGCCCTGGGTGGTGGGCCAGGGGTGCAGGCCGCATGTCACCCCACCTTCCCGGGGTGTAGGGGTGCAGCAGCGCTGTGCCCGCCCCTTGGAGCTGAGCAATGCAGAGCTAGAGCTAAAACACCTGTCACTGACTCTTCCCTCGGGACCCCAGCTCCTTCTGAATCTTCAAGGTCCTTCCCACCGCGATCGGACCCCATGGAGAGCCCACACCCCGGACCTGGGTGCACTGCTTGCCCATGTGGGGGACCTGAGGCTCCTGGGACTCTGGAGGTGGTGGGAACACCCTCATGGGAGGGGCAGGCCTGGGAGACCCTGTCTCAGCCTCGTGCCTTCAAAGCCTGGGCCTCGGTGTCCTCGGGACCCGTCGGGGCTGCCTTCCCAT